CTCAATAATAAATTTGTTTTTGGGACCTCTATTGTGAAAAGTTTTTTCCACTGGAAAAATTGCTCATGGAATCTTCCTTTGCTTAGGAAGCCATGGAAGCTGAGGAAGCTGAAAGCTTGGGGCTTCTCTTGAGCTGAAGATCTGAGGCTGCAAAGCAAAAGGATTGCTGAGAACAATTACAAAGAACCTGAGAAAGGAAGCTGAATACAATCTATGAAAGGAAAATGAATACTACAATCAACTACAAAAGATCCCTCACCAGGAATCCAGATTTGTTTTGGTGATAGTTTATTATAGAGGACCTCCTGTTTGTTTGAGGGGAGGGGGGGGGGGGCCCGTTTACTAATCAGGCGCCAACATTAGTGGTAGTAGGACACCCTCTATCCTGAAATATCTGATCATCCCGAATTTCCTTCATTCTCTAATAAAGCACCAGTCAGTAAAAGGGTGTATAGGTGACTGTAACTAGCCTTGAATGAAACCGTGAGAACGTGACTGAATTGGAAGAATTACCAATCACAGATCACAATGATCACGTAAGGTGCACTCCCATGAAAAACCTGAAATAACATCGGAATGCGAAAAAGCAATAGCCTATAAAGCCTCCTTGCCTCTACACAAATGCTTTGATTCCACACCACATTACTTCAAACGGAGGGTATCTCAAAGCGCCCTTCATGCAAAAATGCGGCTTGACAGTGTGCAGGATTGTCAAGAGGTGCTCTTTTAAGATCGTGGCAACACTTCAACCAGACGTTAGCTGCACTCATGTGGGCGTCTATTTCAATAGTGGGACAGCCTGCCCCAAGGCTTTTGGATGGTTTTGATCTATTCTTTCTTCCAGGGCGTCCTTGCCTGCGAGGTCTCCCTATTGTGGCACCGGGGGGATTGTAACACCAACTCGCTTGGCCCGACGCGTTCGCCGCCCGTCATCGATACGAGTCCACGGTGGCGGGTCTGGACCCGGTCCGTTGGACGAACGATGCCTGCGTCAGTCGACTTCGACTTCTAATCCTTCATCTTTCCGTGTTGGCAAACATACAGTAGACCAGGTGATAGACTACGTGTTTCATCATTATTTATAGTGACGGACA